AGGTGTACTGTTGGGTTCCATGCTAGCATCATGAACTTGAGAAGTGGAGAAAGTGGAAAATCATTTCCCTGGACTGCTAGAGATATAACTGCCTACTTGGGTTGTGAGACAGTTTTCAGTGGACACTGTAACTTTAGTGGGACATATGTGCTCCATGGTGTGAGTTCTGCTTGTTTAAGATAATGACGATGAGTATGAGGAGAGAGTTGAATGGGTCCAGAGTGGAGTTCTACTGTTGAGTGCCAGAGAAAGCCAATGAAGCAGGTACCCTGGAATGGGGTCATCCTGAGAGAGGCACCAGTGCCTTGGAGAGCATTGGGGTTCCAGAAGTATCTAGGGAGTTCTCAATGGTCCTTGAAAATCCAGGGGAGAGGTTATTAATTTCATGCTGGGTTGTTCCTATATCCACAGTTGGTCTCCAAGGTGAATAGCCCTTTACATGTGGGAACAATATATGTAAGGGGAGAGGGCAACTTTGGAATAAGGATAGCTCTAGAGCTGGTTTGCTTGAGCTGGGGCTGGGGTGTTGGGAAAAAGATACTGAGGTAAGAGTCACATTGAGGTGCTGGACCATGGAGTTGAAGCAGCCTAGACAAAGAAGTAGAAACAGAGAAGGAAAGGCAGATAGGAAAGTAAAGGCTGATATATGAGGGTGGTCAAGGACCTGGGGGCCTTGAGGATGAAGAATGATGTTTAGTCGGAGCTAGTGAAAGATCTGGAAAGATGGGAAGTTGCAGTTGGGGAGTCATATTTGGATTCATGATTTCAGAGGTGGAGAAGTTCTGAGTAATCAGCGAGTCAGAAAGTGATCTTGGGAGGGGCTTCCTTGACCCTTGTCATCACTGGGATCTGCTCTTTGATCCAAGATTCACACAACTTTTCTCTCTCCTTTCAGCATCTGATGTATCTCCTTCCTAGCTCCCCTTTTCCCACTTTCTAGTCCAGCAAGAGGGACTCACAGCATCTATTCTTACTTCCGGAGAAATTTATTCCACGTGTCTGATTCATTTGCATTTACAGAAACTCAGAATCTCCAGTGTCCAAAAATCCATTCAACTTTTTAAATTCCCTTTCTTAGAAGCAGGAAGTTGTGTTTGGCTGCAGATGAACTTTTTTAGTGCCCCTGAGATTTACGAGATGTGTGGAATGAGGAACAATGAGGTCTGGGGAAGGCTTCTTTGCTTTCTCCTTTCCTGGGGCAACTGAGCATCTGCCAGGGGTAGGCTGATCACTCATGGGTTTGGAAGACTAGCTAGAATGTTCCTGCCTCTCCTTGCTGAGCCCAATGCCTGAGGGAAAGTGTGTTCTAAAAGAGGTGGGTGGCTTTCTCTCTCTGCTTTGCAATCTAGAATATACTTGTACATTGGGTGTCATCTCCTTCTTCTCCATAATTGAGCAGTGGTCATGAGGAGCCCCTTTACCTATTGTGTGTGTGTGTGTGTGGGGGGTGGTGTTTGTCCAGCACCTACTTCTTAGCAAGGCCAGCTACTTCTTAAGTAGAATGTCAAAAAATCTCCCCATCTGAAGAAGAATGAGCCAGGGAAACATGGCACAGGTTGTAATGGGCTTGACAAGTTTTGATAAAGCTGCTAGGCCATCCTATTATGTTGGTCTAGAAAGCAGACAGGTGCCTAGGAAGGACTGGAATGGTGCAGATAAAGCATGAGAGTCCCAACTTGACCACTTTGCTCACTTGGCCCTCCAACTTTTAGTACCCCACTGTGTGTTGTGGTTTTTAGAATATTTTCTTGCTTCTTCTCCTCTCCTTACTCTGCCCCCTGTAGTGCTGGGGATTGAACTCAGGGCCTCACTCAAACTAGGCATGTGCTTTACCACTGAGCTATGCCTTCACCCTCCCAGAATATTTTCCTATGTAAAGTAAATATGACCATAGCATTTGTTCCTTTAATGATGGCCTACAAAGAGCCAGCAAAAATGTCTGCTTAAATGGGTGACTTCTTTCTTTTTCATGTTCCATGAGCAACTTTCCTGATGCTTTAACCTCAGCAGAGGACCACAGATGGGAAAATGTTCTGTGCTAGAGAAGTGATTTCCTCATAAAGACACACTGTCCTCCCACCACTGGCCACAAAGGAAAGCAAACCCCTGTTTATCTTTCTCAAGGACACAACTGACATTTCTTACTTCTTCTGCTTTCTGTCCTATCCTAGACAGTATGTGCTCTGGGTCTGGTGGTGGCTGACAGTCTAACTAATGGTGGAGCTAGGGTGTACTTGGGGAATTATCTCCTCAAATTTGAAAAGTTCTCTCCTCATCTGTAGGAGAATAATGGGCAGAGAACAAACCCCAGATAAGGATTTCACTTATGTTAAGAATGAAAAGTTGTAAATGAATCCTGATGCTTAAAATATTCTGGCTGCTGCTCTGAGTATCCAGAGTGATGACCAAGTTACCTGCTGAATCAGATACCAGTATGGGTTTCCATCAGGAGCAATGGCTGGAAAATGCAAACTCTCAGCAGAGAAACCTAGTCCTTCCTTCTCTGGGCTAAAAGAGTGGTTGTGGCCGGCCAGGGCAAACAGTGTATGGTCTCCCTCTGCAGTTCTGTTTCCTGAGTCCCCAAGCTGCAGCTGTTGAATTTCCAGATACAAACAAGTATGTATTCTGTGAGCCTTGCTGAGCCCACACAGCAAGGGAGGGCCAAGCTGGATTCCATTCTGCTTTGCACATCAGTAGCTCTGCTGCCAGTTGAACTTCAGGGCAAAAGCTGGGCCTAGTAGTGATACAAGCAGTAGGGATGGCACAGCTGGCCTGACATGGACTGTTGATGGAGACACACTTACCCTTAATTGTTTGGGCGAGAATGAGAAATGGAAGGAAATGACTTGCAGAAACATCCATTCGCCTCAACAAACTGGGGCACAGCAAAGAAAAATCTGCTTGTACAAGTTGTCAACACCCTGCCTGTGTGTGTGCTTATTTAGGTAAGCCTGGCCTCCCACTTAATAAAAAGACTAGGCAGACATGGAAAAGCTGACAACTGTATGTCAACCGCCACCATGTAGAGACCAGTTAAGAGGGAGAGTAGGGGTTGAAATCTCATTGGCCCCACCTTGCATCCCAAGGGTCTGAGTCCTCATTTACACATCCCCATGTCTTGAGAGAAACCAGAAGGCAAGGAAAAATGGGACTAAGGTGGTGAAAAGCAGGACATGAGAATGTATTGCTAGAATGTCATTTCTTGATGTTGTCCATTTCTTCTCCCTCATTTGTGATCAAGGACTGTGTTCTCTATAGGGAAGACTGAGCTAGAGAGATCTTAAAGCTGACAGAGTGGCTCCACTGATAGAACGTCTGCCTAGTAAGTGTGAGGCCCTGAGTTCAAACCCCAGAACTGACCAAAAAAAAAGAAAAAAAAGAATGGCATCTAATAGTCCTTGGCCCTAGTAAATATTTGATCTTAATGCTTTAACTTCCCGTACTTACTTCTGGCCCCAATACAGAGATGAACTTTCTGGGCTGAAGTGGTAGAGCACCTAGGTAGCACCTGTGTAGCACCTGTGAAGCCCTAAGTTCAGACCACAGTACCACCGCAAAACAAACAAACAATAACAAAAACCAGAGAGATTTTCGGAGCCATGAGAGATGAGCAGATAAAGGGCATGGGAGGGGATTTTGGAGGCTCTCAGGGAGATTTCAGGTGCCCAGTGGAAGAATGCTGTTTGGCTAACAGAGCTCATGAGCTCATGGGACAGCTGCAAGTTGCTTGGACCAAAAGAGTTTGTGAGATGTGGATGAAATTGGTGGGGGTCAGATGGCGAACAGGCTGTGACATCACTGGGGTGATGTTACCTGGACACAGGGTGAAAATACTTGGGATCATAAGAGCCTCTGTGTCTTTGACTTAAATGAAGCAGGCCAGCTTACAAGCAAGACAGCTTGCAGAGTGGAATAGGATACTTTTTCTCAAGAATAATGAACTCAGAGGTACTGCATAACAATCATGACCTCTGGACTGGGATTCTCAAAGTATGGTCCCCAGAACAGCAGCCTCCACATCTCCTGGGTGCTTACTAGGCTGCCTGCTGAACCACTGAGTGAAGAACCCTGTGGTGGGCCTGGCAATCTGGGTTTGGCTGAGCCCTCTAGACGGCCCCCATGCCCACTCAAGCTTGAGAGCCACTGGTCTAGGTCATGCAGGTGAATGGCTGCCCACACGATCTGGGTCTAGCAGGCTTGTTAGAACGCAAAGCAGTCACCTTTTTACTGAAGATCTGTCTGAAAAGACCCAGGCAAGATGCCAGCTGTTCTGCATGTACCTGAGGTGAGCTGACCTGGTTTTAGCCTTCATCTTTGGGCCCTAGGTCCCCAGTCCTCTCCAAAGAAATAACGAACCAGACCAGACCACTTCATTGGCACAAGATCACACTTTAGTTCAGAGACACATTTGCATAAATACTTGAAATGAGTCCACCCCAGGAGGTGGCAGCCTGAGAACATGTGGCTCTCCACAGTCCTGTGACGGACACTGTGGCCCTTTAGACAATGGATTTTACTACCGAAGACAGTCATAATCATTTCTAAAGTTAGCTCCAGGTGCAATTACGGAGCTTGCTTTGATATTCACTATTGACTTCAGGCCCCACACCTCTCGTACTAAGTTTTTTCCCCTGTGAGGTAGATTATTTATCAGGGAAATCAAATAGAAAAGAGTATTTTTCATTTAACTTTGCTAGTCCTTTGACAACAGGCTGGTTCTGGTCTCCCGTTTGGGTCATAAGCACACTTTACCTTTTAACTATGCCCTCTATTTGAACCCAAACAAGGTCCAGTCCACTAGCCAGTTGACTTTAGGATCTGTCATCCCCATCCCTTCCTCTCTTCCCCTTATGAATTCAGGAAGTACCCAAAGGGCTGCAGCAATGAGAGGCCTGGGCAAGCTGTGCCATCTTGATACACAGGGTCACCTCAGAGGAGACCCTTGTCTACACCCAAACACCCCAAGTTCATGAGCATATAAGACTGTCCCTACCATGGGATCACAGGGGACATGATTGGCTTTCACAGGATTTGGCATCCTCAGGTTTCAGAGCCTCGTCACAGGTGGCAGAGGCCTGGCCTGAGGAGTCCCTGCATTCCACAGTTCGCCGCTGCCAGCCAGCTCCACATGTAGCCGAGCACTCAGACCAGTCTCCCAGCACCCACTGCACATGGAGCAGTGGCTCAATGAAGTTGGTGGTTGCTTTCTCTTTGCTGTTCTGTATGCTGTAGTCCATGTCATTGGGAATGTAGAAGGTATATTTGATTCTAGGAGGGAAGTTCTCACCAGGGATGGTCAGGAGCTGCACTGTCAGAGGCTCAGGTAGTGCCCGGAAGCTCTGCAGCCTCTCCAGGGTGGCAATGGAACCACTGTACTTTAGGATGGTCCCCTTCAGAAAGATGTCCTGTTCTATGGAAGAGATGGCCAGGTTGCCGTTGAGCAGGTACTGCCCATCAGCAGTCTTTACCGCCAGGTAGTTGCCATCGTTCTGGATTCCTGGGTGGCTCCGTTGTTTCACATCAATGTTTGTGGCACCAGCTGGGATGGTGACGATGTCATTGTAGCCATAACTATAGGGACAAAAAGACACTGTGAAGGCTGGTGGCTATCCAGCCTGGGTCCCAAGGGTGCCTTTGGAGACTGAAGTGAGAAGCCCAGGTGCCTGGGAGTGGGCAGAGAAAAACAGCTAGCAAATATTGAAATGTCTGCCCCAAAGTTCTAAATAAATTAGCTGCAGAAGCAGACAGGACTGTTTTGTACTTTGGGATTCCCAAGGGTTTTTGCTTCATCTGGCAACTCTATTGCAGATGTTTGGGCCAAGAAATTTAGATGTGTGGATCGTGACAACAGCATAGATAGGAGAGCCCAGAGGGGGTTGAAAAGCTGTGTGGACATAGCCAAACCTGGCACCTCCTGGCTCAAATGAGATTCCAAATACATTTAGTTCCATGCACTGGTATAAAACTAGGCTTGGCCACTTCCACACCCAGAGCTCAAACCCACAAGGGAAGTCTAATCCCCTTATTCATTCCAGAACTGACCAGGGTGGAAGTCTCAGGCCACCTCTTTGAGTCAATCAGCATTGCATACTTGGTTAATATGGACTTAGGGAAAGACTGGAGGGGGGAGGGTAAAGTTTGTTTCTTTGGAGCCACCTCTTGAGTGTACCCAGACACCATGAGCACTGAGCTTCTGCAGTGTTCTGTACTGTTTTGGGAAAATGATTAGGTCTGTTATAGGCATAAGGCTTTATGCAGAATGAAGAAAGCTTAGTTTTTTGTTGTCTATAGGGGTCTGGTTCCATAGGCTCAGGAGAAAGAAAATATTGAGCCAGTCTGCTGAGTTCTCTGCTATTCTTGCCACACACCTAGCTGGGGCTAGTTGTTATATCTAGGGCTATCAAAGTATCCATGGCCTAAATGTGCAGTGCCTATAAAGAAGTAGCTAAGGGACCCAGGATCTGGATAGCTTCTGCTTTCTTTTTTCCTATATCCTTTGAGCTTGAATTTGAAAAGACTCCGAAGTTGTCTGTTATGGGCTGGTTCTATTCTTTGAGATGGTGAGATGAGGGATATACATGTATATATAATAAAAGTATATATATATGTACTATATATGTAATAAAAGTGTGTCCATATGTATATACATATACATACACACACTATGGAGAGGAGGATAAAGAGAATGAATGGATAACTATTGGCAGGGTGGAGCAAGCTTCAGTAGGTAAAACACAGTAAGTCATCACTTTACAAAACGCTGAGGATGGGAGGAGTGGGGAGGAGGCTTGGATGGTTCAGTGGGGATTGGGGGTGAGGTTGGGGAGATGGGGGTGGGTGGAGATGGGGAGTTAGGGTAAGGTCGGTGTGGTGTGGTGTGGGTGTGAGTGAGGGAGTACGTAGGGGTGGGGGGTGGGGGGGTGGGGGATAGGAGGGTCGTGGGGTGGGGAGTGGTGCTGGGTGGGGGGTGGAGGTGTGGTGGGGTTTTTTGGTGGGGTGGGTATGGGGGAGAGGGGGTGTGGGTGGAGGGGTGTGGGGTGGCGGGTGGGTTGGGTAGGGTTATGGGCGAGTAAGCTGCCAGAAAAACCTAGATGCTGGAGTGGCAGAGTGAGGCTCACACGAAACACCTGACCTTGCCCTTACTTTCTAGCAGGTACAAGGAATGGCTGAAAATAAGCAATCGTCCAGTACTTAAGAAACTCGAGTTTCTTTTTCTGGCTATCATTAATTCTCTGTGTGTCCTTACAAGAGTCAATCAGTTCGTGCCTTCGTTTCTTCATTTGTAATATGGGGAATTACGTGGCTTGCTCACCTCATGGACTTATTTTAGGAATCAAAGGAGACCAGGAAAACGAGAGCACTTTGGAAAAATAGTAGGAGCTCTATGAATGTGGGCACTCAGATGGGAGAAGTGTTCTGAGTCCTCAGATTTATGAGACTGCCAAGGCCACTCCTTTGTACCCACTTTTCTGAAGATCTATCTGCAAGAAGGACAAGATTTTCTGGGCTTAGGGTGAGATGTCCTTCCTATTACAGGGCTGGAGGAGCTGTCTTCTGGCAAATACCCAGGTTACTCAGCATAGCTCTCCTGATGATTGACTCAGAGGTGCTACATCTCCATCCATTCCAGCTCTAATAAAATAATGGCTACTCTGGACTCCATACTTTCTATGGCCAGACCTACTGCCAAGTGTGCCACATATCCTATCTCAGGAAATCCTTACAATGACTGTGGAATATAGATGACCACTGACATTCTGTAGACAAACAAAAGTTCAGAGCAGTTACATAACTTATCCAATAAACAGAACTCTGAAGTAGCAGCCATAATTCAAACTTGGGTGATCAGAGTTCGAAGTCCTTTATGCTCTTCTGCCTCAGTATTGCTACTGGGAAACTCACCTAGTGGGTGTGAAGTACCCGGAGACCTTCCTGCATGAGGTGCCTTTGCCCCCACACACCCCACATTTGTCCAGCTTCTTAGGTGAGTCCACCACATGGTCACAGCCAGCCTTCACGCACTGGCCCCGGACACAGATGGCCAGAGTCTCTGGACCACACAGAGTGCCATCGATCACCTAGGAAAGAAAGGGTAGAGGACTTGTAGAGCACAGCAGCAGCCCACAAATGGAGCAGTGACAGGCATCCTCCCTTCCATCTCTGATCTAAGCCCAGGGAGATTCTCACCTTGGCTTCAAACACTTTGAACTCACTTCTCCCCCGAGCTCGGCAGAACAACTTGCAGCGGTCCCGGGGTGACACCCCTGCATATTTGGGGATCCATTGCAGGAGATTCCCATCTGCGTCAGTGAAGTTGTAGGCATTATATTTCTCACACTGCTGCTCCCTGAAGCTTTTTTCTGAAAAGAGTAAGAAATGGCGTGGAGGTAACACATCTACTGAAGCAGAGAAGACACAGGCAGAGAAATGCCTGGATCCAGGGCCTTTCTTCTTCTAGTTTCAGACTAATGCCAAGGACACAGGCACCGTATTGACTGAGCCCAATGTTTCCATACACGTTGGGGTGCATAGGGGACCCTTATTCAAAGGGGTGAGGAAAGGAGCCGTCCAGTTTCAGGCTGGGCTTTCTGGGATAAATATCCTTTCCATTGGTGAAGATACTCATTCTATTTTATAGAGAAATTTAGGTGGAAATATAGAACAATTCAGGAAGTATAGAAGGCACAGAATGATGCTTGGAGCTGTATTTTCAGGACTCTGCTTATCATGTTCTATCTTGATTTCTTCAGTGACACTGGACATGTGGCCAAAGCCTCCTCCACTTGCATTCCTAGCTTTGATCTTGCTCCTATATCCCTCTTTCTATAATTCTGAGTGTCTATGGAACAGCTCCATTTGTATGTACTACAGTCACCGCCAACTCAGCAACGCCGACCACCATCTGGTCCTTCCAAAAATTACTTTGATTTTCATTTGGCTACCCTACTATGTTCCACAGTGAGACTGGCACCCTGGTATCTCCTAAACATTTGAGCATCTCTATCTACTATTTCCAGACTGTCATAAAGTCTTTACTATATTCAGGACAATATTTGAGTTAAAATTCTTGCATGCTGCTCTCATCACTCCATACCCAGGCCTTGTGGCCTCCCTTGGGACCCCCCTTGGGACCCAATGGCCAGCCTCTATGTGTACCAGCTTCCTCTTCCCTCCTGCTGTACTATTCCATACCAATTTGTAAGAGACAAAGTATGTGTTTTCATGGGACAATCCTGAACCTAGACCTGCTCTCCTTATCATGTGTCTCCAACCTGGCTGTGCATCTGAGATTTAAAACACAGATGAGATTCTGAGTCAGTACAGCTGAGTCTGGGCTATGTCTAGAGAAACTTTCAGGTGACTTGACAGGACAGCTGTCACAGACCGTCTCCAGATGCCATTTCAGCTTTCAAGGACCTTTGCAGTATGGCCTTTACATGCTGGTGCATTTTGCTTGACTCCACCTGAGCAAATGATAGTGCTTCTCACACCTGCCCCATCCTGGCATGTCCCCTCAGACCTTGATGCCTCCTTAGTTCTCCAGGCTTTCTTTGGCTCAAACTTCTTGCAAAGTTTTTGCCTTGCCTAGGTTTTCCTCATAAGCCCAGACTCTGCGCCTTGTAAATTAAACCTTAATTGCTGGGTGGCAAGGTTGGATCTCTAAACACCCTGCAAATTCCTTGAGGTCAGAGACCATACCTTGTGAATTTTTCACATCCTTTATAACATGTCATAGTTCTAGACACATCAGAGGTACTAACTAAATGACTGCTCTTTGTGCACTTGATATCATGGTGTCACCTATCATCCATGCCTACCTTGTGCCTTATATCATCTCTGCCTTCCTTACCCCAGAATGTCTCAGCATGTATGTCAGGCAAACTTTCATAATTCCAAAGTAAACTTTCTAGATCCTCATGCCACTGCTGATTTTTCCCATCTTGCAAAACTGCAGAGCCTACAGATTTCCTTATTAGATGCCAACTTAATGCCAGGGCATCTTGGCACTTTGGTGAATTTCTCCTAAAGCCCCATTCTCATTTCATGCTGCCAATACTTCCCTGAGCTGTCCAAAGGGGAGCTGGATGGGATGGAGGGGGAAAACGTCTAATGATTCCCTTTTATGAGTTTGCAACTGGTCCTTACTGGCTCTTAGTTAATGTGTGTGCTTTCTAGCATGTTCTAGGGGATACAAATATGCCAAGATGAGGCAGAGGTGGCACAGTTTCCTGGGAAGGTTCTGTCAGGCAGTTGCCAGGCCCCAAGGGAAGATGGGCAACTCTTCTTGGAAGGAATGTGCACAGAATCAGACTCAGAAATCCTCCCTCCTCCCTGGGCTAAATGTTGGTTGGAGAGACCTTGGAGGTTTGGCTCTGACACTTGCTTTGGAAAACACTTCCATTCTGCACACAGATGAGGGTTCAGATGCCTCTGGGAGGATTATTATCTAGATGTTAACCCCTCTGTAAAGGCCCCTCCCCTATAGCTTTGGTTGCAAGTAACATGCTGTCTCCACATCTCCAAAGACCAGGGCAGTCTCCCTCCTTGACTTTGCCAGTCTCTCCCAATAGTGAAGGTTATCCTAGGTCCTGAGGACTGCCCCCAAGCCTTCTAGCCCATTTCAGTTTGGATCACAGGCTCAACTCTGCATCACAGGAGACCCACCCTTCCCTTCCTCTAGGGATCTATTGCAACAAAAATACCAGCTGCTCTGGTAGGTGTGGCCCTAGGTGGCAATTACCATCAGGGGGGCATTCCTCTGTGTGGCACGACTGGTACTTTGTTCTCTGACCCAGGCAGTATCTTCCTCCATTCTGAGGCTCTGGATTCTCACACTCACGGTGTGAAAACTGGACTCCTCCTCCACAGGTCCGAGAACATTCTCCCCAGGGCCCCCATGGGCCCCAGTTTCCATCTATCACATCCTGTAATACACAATACCACTGAGTCAGAAGCAAAGAGAAGGAGGCTTCAGTTATCTGTGCCACCCAATGGCTGTGGCCTGACTTGCTTATCTATTTATTCTTGGTGCATGGAATAATGTAAGTTGTTACAATCATTTGTTTAATGACAGCATGGCTTACTTGGCCTTACCTTCATGAGCAGAGACTGTGCTGGGCTTGTTCACTGCTGACTGCTGGGTATTTAAAACCATCTTGCCCTAGTCAGGTACTCAACAAACTGTCTACTGAATGAATGAAAGAGTCTTTTATGAAAATAAGGTTGGGGAGAATGCAGCGGTTCTCCGTGGGGGCACATTCTGTCCTTCATGGAACATTTGTCTGGAGACACTGTGGTTGTCCCAGCTAGGGAGGGTATATGCTACTGGTACTGAGTAAGTCAAGACCATGGAGGCTGTTAAATATCCAAAAGGGCACAGGTGCAACAAAGTATTTTCTAGCCCCAAATGTCATGAGTGCCAATGTTGAAAGAAACCCTGGTCTAAAGGAATAGTCACTGTCTACCAGCTACTGTTTAAATGCTAGGCTGATGCTGGGAAATGAACAGAATTGCTGCCAAGTTTACAGCTGACTTAGGAGAACAAAGCTTTGCTTTGGTTGTATCACAGAGGGTTCAAAATAAAAATAATGTAAAAAAATAATAAAGGCAACACTTGCTCATAAAAAGTGAAAAATGCAGAAGAGTATTAAAAAAAAAGTTAAAACAGCCCAGATAAATCCATTGCAGTGATTTTCATATAATTATAAAGATGTGTTTTCGTTTTACTAAGGAATGATTCAGTATTTAAAATTTTCTCATATTCTTCCATTTTTCCTCAAAAACAGATGATAAACATCATCCAATGATCATTTCATGTCGACCTCTCACATATGCTAATGAGTGGATGGACCCTTTTCCTCAGTGACGGAGAAAAATGAATGAGGAAAATGGGAGGTGGCTGAGCCAGAGTACACAGATCCCGTGCCCACTCAGCTTAGGATGAGCATATGTGGCTTACCCTGTCCAAGGAAGCTCCTGAGGCTCAGTACAAAAGACAAACCACCAAGGACAGCCCTTGGAGTGTGCTCAGGCAACCCTGGCGATTCAGTACTGGGCAGGGAGCAGGCTGTGAAACTCAGCGGATGCTGTTTCATGCTGATGGCTCCGGCTTGGTGACTCACAGTAAAAGAAATGTGATCAGCCTCACAGTTTGGATGTGTTACGAGCAGGGCAAAGAAGTGAATCACTTAAAAACCCTTGCTGGCATTGCCTTAGTTTTTTGTGCAAGTTTCCTCTGTACTGGGCCAAGTTTTCTTTGTCTGGACAGAGGTGGCTCCAATCCCTTCTCCCCTCCTTCTGAAATATGGAATTCCTATAATTACTCTCATTCCCTGACCTCTAATTAGGAATTAATCTCAAACATGGGCAGACTATGAATTTTTTCACTCAATCCTTGACAAAATGTTCCTATACCATGCCACTCTACTTATAGAGGAGTCCATAAGGCTCCTGTCTACTAAGTCCTACCTTCTGGTCTTCATACTTCTCACCAGTCTATACAGGCCTCAGTTCAGCTTCAAAGCAGTTCAGAGGGGGAGTTACCAAAACACCCTGAACAATGGCAACATCTCATGGTCTGTGTACAGCCTGTAAGGGCACCTCACTCATGTGGTTTGGTTTATTTGTTAAAAGATGAATGATTTTACTTAGAAGTCACATATTGCAGTCTGATTGGTCCTTGACTCTCAAGTGTGGATCCTTTCCCTTGGAAACAGCCTTCGTGCTCCCCCTCTTACTTCCGTCCTCTCCTTTCCTTCTCCCTCCACCTTTCTTACCTTGGGCCACTTGACTTCCTCCTTAGGTAGACAGATGCCATCCAAGCAGAGGTGTTTAGGCCCACAGGGTGTGCCATCAGCCCAGGGAAGGCTGCCATTCTTCGTGTGGCAAATGGACTCATCATCCGCTGGGTGGCACCAAAGCTGGGTGCAGATGTCCTGTGCAGAGGTGTTGGGGCAATGGTGGAAATTGGGCCCAAAGGTCTGCTTGCACTGTTGTTCCAGATCATAGAGGGCCCTGCTGCCTGGGAGGTCTGTGGGGTAGGGAAAGGTCAATGCGGGGGCATCCAGGAGGCAGTCCCCTGAAAATAGAGAAGCAGAGGAGTAAGAATCAGGAGCAGGGCCTCCCTCTCACTCCAATTCCGTATGACATGGTTTAAGGTCTAGGCATTGTGGTTTCCTTGACCTCAATCTAAACACTGTCAGTACCCAAATTATCTACCTAGAATTTATCTAGCATTTTTTGGTGTTGTTGGTACTGGGGTTTGAACTCAGGGCCTCACGCTTGCAAGGCAGGCATTCTACCACTTGAGCCACTTCACCAGCCCAAGCTTATCTAATTTTGACTAACAGTTTCTTCAGGAGTGATTTTCTTTTGTTGTCTAGAACATTCAGGATGCATTCCCTGTGACCCTCAGTGTGTACCTAGTGAATGCCAGCTAATTAAGTACAATATAATATATATGGGGGGTGTAAATGTGCACTTAAAAACCATGGTGTGTAAATAAAGCTCAAATATTGATGTTTGTATAATCTATTTTTGCCTCTCCTGTGTCTTTGTCTCCTTCAGTTGAGAAGGATCTAGTACATTCTTTACTGTTTTAATCAACAATTTAAACTGCTTTTACACAGGCACCCCGCCCCTCACTTCTTGTTCTCACATGACCTGCGCACTGCCTCTTTGCCATTTCTAAGTTATCATAGGGTCCATCACTGTGGCCTGGAACATTCTCTTCTCAAACTACATTCTTCTAAGCTCTGTTCAAGCTCACCTCTTCCAGACAACCTTCTCAGACTAATTCCACCTGTTTTGTGATGAATAAATCTAAGTTAGGCCAGAGCTCAGAGTATGGGAAGATGGGGCATAGAAGAGCATTCTGGGGGGATGCTTAGAATACCTTTCTAGAGGACTCCTCTCTGAAGTCTCTCCCCACCCTAAAAGCTTTGTGAGAAAGCACAGCTGTAGGGAGTCCCCAAGTCAGAGCAAATGCCAACAGCTGCCAAGAAGTCCTCACAAGCAGAGGGGAACCAAGTGGGCCTACCGTGGCCATGGTCCAGGAGCTCCGTGAGGTACATGGCACTGCAGGGAGACCAGGGGAGCGTCTTGTTCAGGTGGACAAAGAGTGGAGCCATCATGTGGTGTTTGCTCATGGGCCCAAAGAGCCGAACACAGGGCTTAGAGTCGTCGTGGGGCATGCTGAGCACGTGCCCTGGGGGAACAGAGAGACGTGGTCCACTCTACCTGTCCTACCACTCTCCAGTCACCCTTTCCTGCCTGAGTGCTACCCATGTGGCCAGACTGTGCTGACCCAACAGTGATGACGGCCTTGACAGTGCTGCCCAGTCATGAGCACCTTACTGGCATGGCCACTCTGACTCTCTGAAGACTTCCATTTCTGACTTCATCCTGGGCTTTTCCCATCTAGGAAGCTTTCTTGGGTAACTGAGGAACATCAGTACCCTCTATTTTCTGCCCTGCCTGTGTGAAAGTCACACTGACCTCTACTATTCACAATCTGACGCGCTTCACAATCCATCTCCCCAAACCCTTATGCAACTCGGTACCCAAGCAACTTGTTTCATGTTTTGACACTCTCCACGTGACCTCGGATGATGGCCCAGGACAATATTACAGTGTTTTGGTCTTATGCTCAGGGTAAACAATACCAATCGCAGTATCTATCTGTATATAACTGCTCTATCAAAACTGAGGAGATAATGGCTAAGTGTGGGGTAGCCAATTTGAACCTGGAAAAGGCAGCTCCTGTGTTTTGGCAAATCTTACCCAGCTCGTGGGCCACCGTGTAGGCTGACTGGAGCCCCTCATCCTTGATCACGGAGCAGCTCTTGTTGGGGTCGCATATGGTGCCGATGTCCGCCATACCCAGGGTGTTACACTTCCCCTCCTTCCCACAGAATTTCTGCTTGGTGGAGAGAGCACACCAGCGGGGGTTGGGGGAGGGACCACCATCAGGACCAAAGGTAGGGGCCAGCATACCCATGACATTTCCCCACCAAACCTGTGAGACACAGATTGCTGACCAAGCATCACCTGTGTTTACTGAGCCTTTTAAAGCTTTTTTAAGGCCTGGAAAGCAGCAGTAGGGCTCAGCACATCTGGATGTCCTGAGTGTCCTTATATTATTGGATTTTTCTGTCTTGGTTATGGTGAAGATAGTTCACTCATCCCCTGTCTTTTTAACTTGGAGAGTGACCCATGAAATATACTATTGTTAAAAACAACATACACACGCATGCACACACATGAATCCCTCTTGATTTCTTAGTGATACAAAACCTCCCCATCTTCTCTCAGGCTGCTCATGTAAGGATGCCTTTCCTTGTCTGGCTGGCAGTGTTCTGAACTGGGGATTTTGAAGGCCTGCTTTGGGAAATAGAACAAAAATGGTTCAGAGCCTGGCTCTAAGCAAGACTGCCTGGGGATGGTCTTGACTGTGTGGCCCCTCTACCTCTCAGTTTCCTCAGTTGTAAAATGTGGACAATGCCATGTTTGCCCGTGGTGCTGTTGTGAGGACTGAGTGGTGCTCAGGGCCTGGTACACATTACCACATTCACTTGCTTTCAGGAAGTTGTCTGGTTAAATCATGCCAGATAGGTGGGGTAGCCCTCCTGCTGTGAGGGAATCTCCAGGGACCCCCCCTGGTTACCTGCCTTTATGCTTAATAAGGACTGAAGATAGAACACCTCTCCCACTTTCAACCCTCTCTCTCACTGGGCCATTCAAGCCTGTTTCTTCTTGTTATGACCTGAGCAGACAGCTGGTCACAAACTTTTGGAATACAGCCCTTACAAGATTTTTCTCCTTCCCTTGCAAATACCTCACACTTGTCCTTATGACCTCCTCCTCATCATTCCAAGCATGAGGCTGCTGGAGTCCAGCTGAGGCCAGCAGGGAAACAGTTTCCATGTTTGGGCAGGCCTCGGGGCCCTCCCTTTGATCCTCCCATCCCATCTTCCATCCTCCCAGCTTCCAGAGCCAGCCCACACACCTGTCTGGTGAGCATGATGGCTGTGTCATAGTGCTCTGGATGGCGGTCACTAGGCTTGTTGAAAAGCCGCTGCCAGCTGCAGAAGTGGCGTAATGTGAGCCCACCATTGTCTGACACCTCTGGGCCCTGTTTTTCATCTTCCACTATCACCATTTTGACCACCACAAGGCTGATGGAGTTCCTGATGCTGGGATGCTTGAAGATGAGGGCTGCCATGGACATCAGGGTGAGGATGTGGTTCTGTAGGGAAGGAGGAACAGAGCAAAGAGCAAAGAGTCACTCTCAGGGCTACGACCTCTTGTTACGAGGTATTTACCTGGCTCAGCCAGACTCTGGGCTGAGCATTAGATCTGTAACATCTTGCTGAGGTCTCACAGGCTTTGACAGCCTGGAGTTACTTCACTTCATTTCCCACAGAAGAAAACTGAGGCTCGGTATCTAGCCCCATATCACAAAGTCATGAGTGTACAGCAGTGTTTGAATCCAGACCTGCCTGGCTGTCAAGCTTGCCCATTTAACATCCAGAATGGCTACACATGGTTATCTAAATCATAGTTAATTAGCATTATCAAAATAGTTCTTCCACTTCACTGGCTGCATTTCAAGTGTGCCAATAGTCACATATGGCTTAAAGATTCTGCATTGGAGCTGTGGATAGAAAGTTCTTTTGGGCCATGTGTCTTATTCTGACTTAATCTGGACATTACCTGTCTCCCTGCTGACCACCTCTATCTACCCTCCCCAGCTTCAGAAAGCAATGATCTGAGTGCTCCGGGTTAGTAGAATTTTCCTCTTAGAATCCATCCAGGCGTGTTCCTGTTCTCTTTAGGATGGGAGTTGTTAACCCTGAAAATCTTGCTCTTAGCAATAGCTCCTTAGCACCAGTCACTGGCCATATTTGACACATGTCACCTCATTAAATTCTCACAATAACTCTACAAAGTAGGCCTTGCAATCCGTGTTTCATCAGTGAGGAAGTGGAGGATCACATCATTCCATACTTGTAAAAGGTCACACTGCTCTTAAAGCTAGGATGCCAGCCCAGGTGTCTGCCTGAAAGTCCATACTCTTTTCATTAATTATCTCAGAGTTTGGATGGTTGATTTCTTCCTGGACAGTCCTTAAGGGTTTATTCCCTTCTGCCTGGGGCTTGAGAGAGTCCAGAGGACCTAATGAGACCCATGTGCTCAGGGTCCCACATGCTTTCAGTTCCACTCAGGCCAGCTGAAGGAACCTACATCATGGCTTGGCCTCTTTCCTGTCCTTGGGCTGCCAACTGCTCTCCTGCTGGATTTCAGAACTCTGACAGGAGGCCAGATGGGACCTCATACTCCTGCCTTGGGGACCTCTTGAAGTGGCCTGCTTGGATTCTTTTGCAGAGGCAGACACAAAGGAGCAGAGGCAGGTATGCCTTACACCCATAGGGTGGTCAGCTAAGCTACTGCTTGCGCACTCTGCCTCTTTGCTCCCTGGAGTACCACCTCTTTCAGACTCTTTCCATGTCCTCCTGTGGTCTGGAAGGTGGAAGAGGAAGGAGGGGAAAGGCTAGCGAGGGACATTGCATTGGGGGAGGCCACATGTGGGAGTTCCAGACGAATCCCATTATTTGTGAATGGGACCTGTCTGTTCATCTCTCAGGCAATAAGCCAGGTATTTTGTTAGTCCTACAAACAGGGGTTGGCAGGTTATTAAGCACAGGTTACTTAGCACGTCATACACTCCAGCTATGTTTGGGCTGATGTAAACATCTTATCGGCAGTACTGAAACTTGGCATTTGCTCCTGGAGTTGGATTCCTGAGGGGGAAAAAAAAAAAAGCAGTCACATCATTATGCAACTGGGGGTGAGCCCTGAGGAACAGTAGCTTGTGAGGAGAATTCCCAGCCAGGTTTTCACTGCTTCCACAGGACAGAAAGAGTCTTCTGGTCATCTAGGAAGGGCCGGAGTCTGACAGACAGGGAACCAACTTTTGGAATTTCTTATAAGACAATTTACAACTGTCCTTACAAGATTTCTTCTGGTTGAGTTCCAATTTCACAATCTGAAAATTGGGGAAGATGAGGTTTTTTTCAAAGATGGTGTGAAGCCATGAGATGCAGGCTTGTGAGTGTTGGACCAAGGCAGCTCAGCACAAAAAACTGAAGTCTTGAGGTTTGGGAATGGTGTGTGTGCCTGAGCTGACCAGATGAGACTGAAGCTGAGTGACAGATGAGGCAATGGTTATTCAGGGAAGAGCAAAGAAAAATGGTGCACGCAGGTCAGGCTGCAACAATAGAAGTTTCTAGCATTGTTTCCAGGGAGCTGCCTCCTGTGCAGTTTAGGGAACTCACATGATCATCTGCTCCAGACACTGCGCAGCTGTCAGGTTGAGCTGGCTGGAGTGCCATTTTGCTTCAAGGTGATGGATGGATGTGAAGACACCTTAAGTTCCTCTTGGGCACTGACTGTCTCAGAAGATTATCTGCACTGCTGGGGGCTAGCAGGATTCTGTGGTCCCAAGTTCCCTTCATAACCCCAAGTCCAGCTGACCTCCCCTTACCTCTTGTCATCCCCACCATCTCCCATTCCCAGTTGGCTCTTCTGAGAAACAGTGGTAGGGGTTTTGCACTGCAGTGAGACTCACAGTTCCTCAGGGAGAAGGACCCCTGAGCCTGGGCCAGGTGTGTCACCTCAATTTTGTAAACCTCCACTCCCCAACAATTCCCCAGGCTTATAGTCATACGGACAGCAGGTCCAGAATCCAGTGAAGAAAAGGGTCAGATGGTTTGCTCCACCACCTGGTGTCTATTTATACCTCCCTACGCACACACAGGTGTAGTTTGTGTGCTACAGAATGTGAATTAGACCCTGACCTATGAACTGGAGGCCAGCGCAGCAGGCAACTTCCAAACACCACATCAGGTTGGTGGAGCCCATGATTTGAACTGCTAAGGATGGCCAAATAACCCTACTCTTGCATGACTTGAGAAGCTCATGCCCTAACTCTCATTAGGGAAAGGTGGCGTACTTTAGAGAGTCTCCTTCTCATCTCTCTGTGTCCCCTGGAATACAGAAATGGACCCAGCTGGCTGACTGGGACATTGCACTTTGTTTCTTTGAGCAACAAACAAGGAAAATCCTCCTCCAAGATCCTGGCTGCTCCTATGCTAGTCAAAAGCCACTTTTAGGAGTCTTGGATGGGGGGCAAACCTGGGCCAAGCATGTTTTAAGAGGCTCCTGCTTAGCCAGAACACCTAGATTTAGGCTTTGCTCATTTGCTTTTTTTTCCATATAGGTCCTAATGCTTTCTCATGAGGCATGCCTGGGGGAGACCAGGAGAAGAGTGACAATGTGCAGACTCACCTGGTACTCTTACTCTTCCTGACATTGCTTTAGGAAAGTGCTGGAGAGGAGGTGGGAGAGAAGCAAAGGAATAGGAAATAAGTGAGAGGAGGAAAGAGCCAGAATGACATGGCAGTCCTTCATCTCACCTTGTTCTCCAAACAGCAAAGAGTGATGTTACCTCTCTAAAGCACTCACTTATGCAAAACTATAAGAAGTCAGCTTTAAAAACTCAAACCAGGGCAGGCAGAAAAAGAAGGTCCCTTTGCCATGGGGAATAGCAAAACTGAAAAGCAGTGCTGGCGCTCCGGTGGTGTGTGGCACACCATCATTCCTCATTCTCATTGACAAATGAATTCCATCACCAAAGGCAACTCTAGGAATAGCTGTGCTTTTTTGAGCACAGACTATGTACCAGGTAGCAGGTCAGGTGCTTTCTGGAATTTGTTACATCCTCAGGACAATGCTCCTATGTTGCTGGTGAAGAAATTGAGGTACAGAGAGATAGGTGACTTACTCAAGAATACTCACTTATTTCTATTTCCCTCCAGTCTATGTTTCTGGTCACCACACTATCACCCATCTTTGCTGCTGCAAGGCGAACTTCAGCCTCGTCAAAACAGACCCAAAGCATGCAAGACAGCAAGGCTGCCCTGTCATTGTCTATGCGCCCCCACCTCTGGATATTTGAATTTTTTGCGGGGGGAATACTCAATATCTCTGGTCATTCTGACTGCAGCAGATACAAGGAAGGGATAGAAAAGACTCATTCTTTAGCCAGTGCAATAAACTTAATTAATACACAGGTACCACTTGTCTTTCACCCATAAAGACTAAGGTGGCTATAAAGCTGGTGGGCCTCTGTCTGTTTATCATCTAAACCAGGACGCTCTTGACATTGAAAGATGCACTATTAATAATTATGCTACAGCAGGTATGAATGAGAATGTGCTGGAAGAGTAGGCTATAGGTTTACTATAGAAGTAGGACTTGTGAGAGACATTTGCCCCAGAGGACAGAGGTAAGGAAGAAATGGTTGTGACAACCCTTCCCTGAAATCAGTCCCCAGGAGCCTGCTATCTGAAAATGCTCCAGTCTGCTTTGGGGAAGAAGATCTTCCATGTTAAGAGGATTCAAAACTTTGCTTACTTCCCAGACTGAGCCTGGGGCACCACTCAGGACGTTCGTTCTGTCCTGCTCCAGATTCATTTCAGGGGACAATTAGCAGCAGCCAGATAGGGACAGAGTTTAAGGACTCTTCCAAGGTGGCCCGTCCTTAGAAAGCCCCTTTGTTTGAACTCCTTAAGTCTGAAACAGATAAAGAAGGTGGGAGGCAGGGGCCTCTTTTGTTAAGGGATTAAATGAACTCAATTGTACAGAGTTCTGGAAAACTTCATTGTCGCTTAGCAGTGACACCGGCCTGCAGCATAGCTAATTCTTTCTCACAGCTTTGAAGGCAGAAGTTTCTTCCTCTCAGAATAGGACTTTACATTTTGTCTGGATATCTTGGGACTGCTGGTAGGAGAGTAAACAGTCACAGATCCTTCTCAGGCAAAGAGGCAACCTAATACAATAACGAAGAGTGCTGGACTCAGGTTCAGGAGACCTGGGTTGCAAATCCAGCACGCCAATACTAGTTGTATGGCCCTGGGAAAGTCACATGTTTCTGCGAGCTGTGTGTTCTTCCTCTGCCTCCCTTGCAGGTTTTTCTATTGAGGACATTCAGGTAAAAACCACTCTGTAATTTGAACATATTCAGAGAATAAATGGGCCTTCCAGAGGATAGACTCATAATGAAGCAGCCTTGGAAATGTTTAGATGAGAACCGATTACCTGGTCCTGCTGTCTTGCTACTTCTTAGAGGGTTAGAGGCTCTTTTTATCATCTTCACATACCTCCAATTACTCTAAGATACCCTGAAGTAACTTCGATCTGTGTAAATGAAGTCCCCAGGAGCCTCCTTGCAAGTTACATGTAAAGGACTGGCTGGCTTCTATCTTGGGAAGAGGTCTAAGTAAGCCAGTTCTTGGGGCACTAGGATTTGACTTTCACTCTTCTCTCAGCTGAACTCGTGCAGCAATTTTAGGAAGCCCAGGGAACTGAGCTGAGAATCTTAATGGCTGGTCAGAGGGGTCAGTGGGTGGTCATAGAAACAGCTGTGCCTCAGCTCCTCCCCCATCCAGGAGGTGGGAGCAGGGGTACAGGTGGGCCAGGACATAATGAGATCAAGGGAGATGGGCCTACAATGGTCCACTGGAGCAAAGATTTCTTTCTGTTGTCAGGCCTAGAAGTAGACTACCTTGGGAGAAGCAAGTGTTCTTGCTCTAATATTCTCCTCATCCAAGTTGGCCAGCTGGGTGTGGAGGTACCAATGAATAGTTACAAATGATCCAAAAACCTGTGTATGTAGAGGGGGATAGGATGGATGGGACAAACATGAGCCAGGCTGCCTGGCTAGTTGTCCCATGAGGGTGGAAGTGCTCCCGTGGCTCTGTGATAGCAAAAGCTGACTTGTATGAGCAGCAAACCTGGATCTCAAGAAGAGAACAAAACAAGACACAGAACTTAGCTGTCCTGCTTCAGTGACTCTGGAATCCTGGAGCCTGGAACCAAATCATGGTGCCTCTGGACAGCTGTGATGTCTGGAGATGCCAAGTGTGTCAAGTACCTGACATCTCCAGTGTTGAGGTGATGAACAGAGCAAGTGAGGTGTTAGAAAGGAACATTTTGGCTCTGAAGTCTGAAAAACTGAATTTCCCCACTACTTTCTGGTTATTCTTGTTGGCTTTCCTACATTTTGGTTCTCAGGCAGATGTCAGAAATTGGTTTACTAAGAGGCAACAGATACAGATTTTAGCTCTGAGTTTGCAGTGAATGTATACCAGCTTCTGGAGCCAAGTGTGGAGGTCCTAATGACATGGGAGAAGCCTCTCCTCAACCCTCTCTTGCACCTTTTCCCACACCCTCTTCAGCATTTGCTTGGGGACAGGAGTTAGGGGAGGTGGCTGGTTCCTTCCCCTGCTCTCAGGGTAGTCAGAGAAACAAACATGAAGTCAGCATAGTTGACCCAAACCTCAACTGGCCGACTGCCCTGATGGCTCAGACTGCCTTCCAGTGCTCTAAGAAAAGCCAATACCACAAAAGCATGCAGGGGAACCTGCATGGGGTTTAACTGGTCCCTGCAGTAGCTAGCAGAGTAATCAGATGGACTCTCACTCATAGCACTTCCTGTCCTCTCCGTTTAGTTCTCATGCATCTTTCTTTCTCACCCTGCTTGTCCCAGTAACAGAAGGGTGGGAGAGATCAGGTGAGAACAGAAGGCTGAGTGCTTCCTTGTCTAACTGTTCTGCCAAGTGAAGCCAGTGCCCTTGGTGCTCCCAACAGTCTACTAAGCCTAGAATAGGGTGCTGTGGTGCCAGGATCCTTGTTTCAGGGAACAGTGACCTCTGAGCAGGTCAGTTCTTCTCTAGCTGGTACACCTTGCTTCCTCGGAAAGAGAAAATGCTGCTTTCTCCTGGAACCTTCACTCTTTCTCTTCTTGGAAGGACCTTCGCCAAGTCATTGGAGGGAGGTATCAGGGCTTAGGGAGACTCAAGCATCTCTTGCTGACACAGCACCATCTTTGCATATACTTAGAAATGGTCCAGCATTCTCCTACACCCAGTTTTTCTGTCTCAGCCCACTGAGAGCTGAGTCTGAGCTGAGGGCAGCTGGATGGACCAAGCCTCAGCTCTGGCTCCTCCAGAGGCTTTAAACTGCAAGAGCTCATCCTCACCTCCTGCTCCCTCCCTTTTTCATGAAACTTCAGTTGCCCTGGCTGAGCCCTGAGGCAGAAATTCTGTACCCCTCCCTTCTTGTGCTGGATGCTGGCATTGCCAAGTTCTGCAGGGGCTGAATGCCAGGTTGGCAAGGTAGTCCATGCCCCTTGATCAGAACCAGCTGGGCACACAGAAAACGGGCAGCCCCTTTCCAGGTTCATTTCCCTCCACACAATGTCTTCTACTTATGGCAATCTCAGTTCTGAACCCAAGGGGAGTCAAACAGACACTTCTTTACAATGCAGCTGACTTTCCTGGGTAGCCTCTCAGTTGGAGAGACAGTAACAAGCTGAGGGAATGAGGGTGGGTCCTCTTCGAAAAATTCAATTTTAGATTTTGTTGGGGGAGGCAGGTACCTGGGAGGGGTGTGTGTACTAAAACCCACTTTCAATTCAATCGCCCACATGCTGCGGGAGATTCAGGATGAGAGCGCTAGGGAGACAGCACCAGCATCTCCATTCTACATTGCAATGGAAGGGAATTTGGGGGCTGGGGAAGTAGGAAACAAGGGTGGCAGAAGTTAAGAAAAGGAGTTACTGTTTTTTCTCAGAAAGGAGAGAATCTTGTTTGGGGTTGGGCTTGGGAGAGTGAAGGAATTTTCTCAGGGAAGGGAAGAATTGAGAGACAGGAGCTGGGAAGCCTTTAGGGGCCACCAGGCAGACGCTGTGGGGAGAGTTGTCCGAGTCCTACCTGCAGATCGTCCCCATAGAAGGCATCCATGGACGCATCGGCCACCAGCAGCGTTTCCACAAAGCGAGCCTCAGACACAAAGCGCTTGGTCCTACTCGTGGCCTCCAAGGGTGGTGGCAGTTCGCTGGCACCTTCTGCTTCCTCTTTGCGCTCCTCCCCCTCATCCTCCTCTTCATCATTTTCTCCCTCCCACTCGGATCCTTGAGGGAGGGGGAGGGCTTCTGCGGAGGCGAACCCGGGGTCCCCGCCGGGCGCCACGAGCCCCCAATGCGCCACGAGCCCCCAGCGCTGCAGGACGTGCGGCTGGTCCAGGGAGTCCCCTGCGCCTTGGGGCTGGATGGTGAACTCCTCGCCCGCCAGCAGGAAGGAGCCACTCAGCCCGCGGCACAGGCTGACAGCCGCCAGCGACTCGGGCTCCCCATTCACGGTGCCGGAGAAGAAGCAGCCGCGCAGCCTCTGCTCGTCCTTGTGCGCCCCGTCGGAGTCCCCGGCCGCCCCGCCAGTGTCCCGGAGACGCTCGATCTTGAACTTGGGAGCCAGGAAGCTGGCGTCGGGCGCCAGGTGCAGCACGAAGTCCTGGCCGAAAGCTGACAGGTGGATCGAAAGCGCGCCCGCGCTGCCCCGCAACCGTTTGGGCACCACCACTTCTGAGTCCAGCCCCTCGCTCCCCGCGGGTTTGGCCAGGGCGCCGCAAGCGAGCGGCGGCGGGGGCAGCAGCAGCGGCAGCAGCAGCAGCAGCAGAAGGGACGGCCACCGGGCGGCGGCGGGTCAGGGAACATCGGGGCTGCGGTTCCGATGCGCGGGAAGGGAGAAGAAGCCCGCCCGACGTGGGCAGGTGCTGGCCCCGCCGCTCTCTCCAGGAAAACGATCAATTAGATGCAGGGCCCGCTCGGCCAGCGGCAGCAGGCGGCGGCGGTCCCCTGGCGGCCCCTCCGGTTCGCGCAGCCCGCTCCTCCTGCACCCGCCCGCCAGCGGAGCTGAGCACGAGCAGCTGGCGCCCTGTCCTGCGCTCCTGCCTCCTCCCCGCCTGGGAAGTACCGAGTGGGCTGCTGAGCCCTTCGTATTTATACTTCCTTCCCGGCTTTGACATAAGAGGTTTATTTTTGATCTCTCACTATTCCCGTTTTCCCTCCCCTGGGGTCAGAGAGAGAGAGAGAGAGAGAGAGAGAGAGAGAGAAAGAGAGAGAGAGAAAGTCTGAAAAGAGGGAGTGAGAGGAGAGAGGAGAAAAAAAATTGGATGAAATGTAAAACCAATCAGGAGTCAGCGAGCCCCTCCCCCCAGTTAAGTGTCAACTTCAACTTTTCCCTCTTCCCTTTACACGGGGACCCATGTTAACTCTTGTAATACTGGACAGCCCCTTCAAGCACAATTCTAACCCTACCCTCTTCCTTCTCTGCGGCCAGGTGTCTAGGACACGTGCTCCGAAGAGGCCCCTACACTGGTCTCAGCGGAGGTTTCAGCTCCCTGCAAAGACCCTACTGCAAAGTCCTTGGGGGAAGGGTCCAGAGCTTTTCATTGTAAAGCACAGGAGAGGGAGGCGGGAAAAATACTAAAATCATGTTCTTCACCAAAAAACCACTGCATAGACAACCCCCCCCCACCTGGTCCACCTTAGCAAAGACTGTTACCTCTGTGTTTCCCGGATAGGTCCCAGCCTAGTGGAGAAGCTATCAGCAGCCCAGCTGGCACAAAGTCGACGCACCCTAAAGGGACAGCTAGAGTTTCCCAAGGAGGGAAGCAGTTCTCCAGTTCTGAAACCTCTGTCTGGTCTCTAGTTATTTTGGGACTTCAGGAAAAGTGGCAAGCCCCATTCACTGCATTGCCCACAGTTCCAGGACAAATGTGTGCGTGGCTGATTCATTGTGCTCCAGAAGTGGTAAGGGCATAGTGGGTCTCAGGACCACAATCCTCAGCCTTTGCATCCCACTCCAGGCTTAATGGCTCAGGTGTGGATTGGATTCAGCATCCCGCTCTCTAAGCACCAGATGTACACTCAGCCCCTCCATGCCTTTTCTCTGAGTTGTCAGTCTGGAGGACCCAATGGGACTCCTAAAATCAGGGCCACCTACTCCCAGCTACCCAGCCTTTTGATTGTAAGCCATCCCTGCTTCTTCTAGCCCACCTGCTTCCTTTCTGTATCTGTGGAGGTCCAGCCCAAGAATGCACAAGTACTTTTGTAACTATAGAGCCCATGTAAGAAGCTTTGACACCCCGCCCCCCAACACACTGTGGGTCCCCTCTATCTACTTTTTCCAAAACATAGTTGGTGGCTATCATTTAGATGGAGGGTGCAAGCACGGTGCTAGGTTGCATAACTTCTTTTCTGCATAGCTTATTGAAAAGGAGTAACTTGAGTGTAGGGCATTTGGGGGGGGGAACACTTCTAGAAGTAGAGGAATGTAAAGAATAGCCTCTTCCTACCTTTTCCAAAAATGAGAAAAAGCCTTCGTCCCATAACAGTGAAACAATCTTGGAAGAATGTGACTTGTGTAGGCAATGACTAATGCCATTTTGCTTCCAGGATGTTATGACATTTCAATCATAGGTCTTTGCCTCTTTGAAGCCCCTTATCCCCATTTCCTCCAGTAAAATTCCCAGTTTTCTTTTCTTTCTCAAGATGTGGTCTAGGCTGGTTTGGAATCACTGTTACCCAGGCTGGCCTCGAATTCACTATCCTCCCGCCTTAGCTCCTGAGTTCTGGGATAACAGGCATGTGCCACCACACCTGAAGGAGACTGAGATAGAAAAGTAGCAAACAGTAGAGCTCCCAGAGCTGGGAAGAGTCCCAAGAGAGGATGCCCCCCATCTGGCTTTAAATCTGGGTTTTTAATAGCAATTAAAATAATCCTTTGTGATCATCTGAGAAGAGGGATCAGTTCCCCCATCTTTCCTCTTCCATGTGCATTAATGGCTAGAAGCGGGAGACTTAATCACACCAAGGAAAATCTCAGATATTCCTGGAGTCTTAAGTTGGGAAGACTCTGGAAGTTGCTGCAGCTTTTTATTATTTATTTATTTTAATAGAAAGATATGCTACCAACAACAGCGTTTGGGAAGTCCTTTTGGGCAGAGTCAGATAGTAGACTGTGACCTTTTTCTTGTCTCATTTCATTAACAATCACAGCACAACAACAATAACTGCTGGCTGCAAATGCCTCAGGCGCCTCCAGCGCTGTCCTCATCCTTCCCCAGAGCATGTGTCTTGCCAGGAAGCATCCAGGGAGGCACTTAGCATTCACAGTGCAACCGCAAGGTGTCAGGCTTACCCTAGCTGTGCTACCTTGGGTTCTGGCTGCTGCTAGTGGAATAGGGTGTGTGGTGGAAGTTCTTAGAAGAATGACAGACCAAATCAGTATAGGGAAACAAACATCGACACACCAACCAGTGAAAATCCCAACAGGCATCCTGACGATTCTGAGCTTTCTATATTATCACTCTCTCCCCAAAGACATAATTATAGCAAGGGTTGACAAATTATGGCCCGTGGGTTAAATACTGTTTTGGGACAATCCACAAGTTAAGATTTTGTTTTTTAAATTTTAAGTGGCAAATTTTAAAAAATTAAAAAGGCTATTAATATTTCATTACACCTGAAATCCACATTTCTGTGTCCATAAAGACATAAAAGACTGGAATGTGACCACAGTCATTCATGGACTCGTTGGCTGCTTGCGAATTATAAGGGCAGGGCTGAGTGAGCCTAAAATATTTACTCTCTGGCTCTTTCCAAAAAAAGTTTGTTGACTGAATATAAAGTAGTATTAATTTGGATTCTCAAATTTGAAATGTGGGATTATTTAGGCACAGTATGTGTGATTCTCATGAAGTTTGAAGCTCAAAATAATGGCTTGCTCTGAAATTATATAAAAAATTAAAATATCTTTGTTTTCTCTTTAATTCTACAATAAGCAGCTATCTGTTATTTTATTAATCCTTAAATAATTAAAGGATTTTTATTTTTATGGTGCTTATACTGTAGGCCTATTGTAAATTTTAAGTTTTTAATAAACTTATAACATTAGTATTCCTTCATTCATTATTAGTTTAACTTAAAGAATATTATAAATTTTTACTGTGTATTAAACTATAGTATTCTCTAGAATGCTAGACTCTTTAAAATGGAAAGAAAAAGCTGGGTGCTGGTAACTTATGCTGTAATCCTAGCTACGTGGGAGGCTGAGAGCAAGAGGATCAAGGTTCGAGGCCATCTTGGGCAAATATTTTGGAGATGGACCTCCATCTCCAAAATAACCAGAGCAAAATGGACTGAAGGTGTGGCTTAAGCAGTAGAGTGTGTGCTTTGCAAGCATGAAGACCTGAGTTCAAATCCCCTCAGTTCCACCAGGGAAAAAACAAAAAAGGAAAGAAACATTAGTGGCCATGGAACTCATGCTTTTATGTTTCCTTTGCAATATGTACTTTTCTATTACCACTAAGGGCTTATCATGAGCCAGGCATTGTACTAAGTGCCCATTTTCATTAATTCGATTTTCACTTCTATGTTTTGAGTACTTGCTGTGGTCTGGGCATTGGTCTACACAGCCCACAAATGTTTTCTCACTTAATTATCATGCAATCCTTGAAAATCCTTCTTCATCGTATAGATGAAGAAAAGGCTTGGAGAGGTTAGGTAATGTGCTTGGGGTCACCTTGGCAATGGGTGGTAGAGGCCAGGGTCTCAGTGCATGAACTACTAATTAAATAAAACATTTTCCACAGAATTAGTGTTCCGGTCAAGTAGAACTGAGGATTAAATTGCGGTATTTCAGGCTAGAAAGGAGCATAGGAGTTCATTTGGCCAGTCTCCTTCTTAGGAAGGAGGCTAAAAAGTCACCTTCTGGATACTTGCCGGTCTTTAAAGGCCTCAAGAAGGAATAAACAGCTTCCCTTAAAAGCCTGTGATCCACTTCAATATAAACCTAGCTCTTTCTGAACAAGGTAATACCCTTTTGTGTCACAATTCATGACAATTTTTTGTAATTTTGGCTATCGTGCAATGGCTGTGATTCTGTGCTTTTTCCAATCAGGAAAGGCATTCCTGGTCCTTATCTATCATATTACTGAGCACACATTCCAGGCAGGACAAATTCAATTTTCAGTGTCATTTTTGTGCTGACATTCACCTTCTGTTAGGCATGCGAGTTATTGTGATAACCCCCTGTGTGTATGCAAGCTTTTCTGGACTTTTTTTTTTTTGCAATCTTATGTATTTATTTATTTGTTTTATTTTATTTTATCAGCATACATTAATAGTACAAAGGATGTTCATTGTGATAGCTCCATAGATGTGTACTATGTACTCTGAACAAGTTCACCCCTTCTATTATTTACCCTAAGTCCTCCTCCTATGCATGTTTATCTACTTAGTCTTTTTTTGCAAGCTTTTCTTTTTTTCTTTATTCATTTATTCATATATGCACACTTTGTTTGGGCCATTTCTCCCCTTTGTCCCCATCCCCTCCTTCTCCCCCCCCCCAGCCTCCTTTTGCAAGCTTCTCTGATTCATTTTTCTGTCTTCTTTTGATCACTCTGGTGCCCATAGACACAGTCTCAACGGGCATGCTTCCAATCTCATTATCTGTACTACTAAGAAGCAGATGCAGTACAAACCTTCCTGTGATATTAATATTGACTTACTTGCTAACAAGATTTTTAATACACTGAGAAACAAAGACACAAACAACCCTTTTTTTCTCCTGTCACTTGTACTTTTAGCGACTGTCAAATATTGGGGACCCAAACTTGCATAAGAGATGGTCCCTGTTCTCCAAGGAGTGTACGGGCAAGACACACATAAAGTGTTGTTCAGGATTCCATGTGGATGCATCCACGGTTACCATCTGTGATTGCTTTGTAACTGGCCAGAGTTACCTGCACAGCACATTTGAGTGTCGCATGAGATGGTCACAGTGAGAACAGGGTTAGGGTTACATGTCTTACCACATATGGCCATAAGATGGCACTGTTGGAACTTGATATTTCTCTTTCTGAGTACCTTTCTCAAAAATTAGAAATACTTAGGGTATCCTAGAAGATTAAGAAAGCAGTCTTTCAGTAGCGAAGAGGTCTGGTAGAGATGA